GATTGCCGTTAACATAAGTCGGCCCTTACCGCACCCGCATCAATGGCAGATCAATAGCAAAGTTCAAACAAGAGAACATCACGCATGGCCACATCGTGCACACCTTACAAACCAAGGCTCGGTTCTATCTCAACACAACATCAAACATGAAACATGATCAAATCGAGAAATGAACCAACTACAACCAACCAAACGACCGAGAAACGGTCCAAGCAAACCACGTCACAACGCATCTCAACATCCTTTCCCGATATTAGGGAATCCACTTACACTTAACGAAACCAGAACTAGAGAGTAGAAAATGGATGGGAAAAGACGACGGCCTCGGGATCTCGGTAACTCACGGTGTCGACCCCATTCTTTTCTTTCCCTTGACTTTCTCTCTCTCGGTTTTCTCTTTCTCTTTTTCTCTCTTGGCCGAATGGCCTCTCTCTCTCTTTCTTTCTCCCTCACGGCTATTCTCTCTCTCTCTTTCTCTTTCTCTCTGGCCGAATGGCCCTCTTCCTATTTATAGAGAGACAAACTTGGGGCCAAAGCTTCGATGAGGTAAGCGCACGTGTCATCGATGAGGTGAGGTAAGCGCGCGTGTCATCCAAGCATTAATAGCCTCTCTCTCTCTCTCTCCTCAAGCTTGGCCGTGGGTCTCTCTCTCTCTCTCTCCCCTCCTTGCCGTGGCTTCCTCTCCCTTTCTTGGTCAATACTTGATGACCAAGGCTTCAATTAATGGCTTCATAATGGCTTGTGGAAAAATAAGGCCAAGCATTAATGAGAGTAATGATGAAGATGATAAGGTTTGACTTAGTCAAACTTTCTAGGGTTTTCTCCAATCAAAGTAGAAAATATCTCATTTGAAAGCTCGAAACGTGTACTTTAAATCACCAGAAGACACCAAGTCCAAATTCCAACGTTCTCGTATAGAAAATGCCGAATCTTTGAAATCTGACAAAACCGGACAGTTTTGCACTGTTTACGAAATTGGACTTAAAAACATAGTAAATCAACTCCGAAAATTCTCAAATTCGGATATGTCATAAAAAAGATCTTAACAAACATTTTTCATGAAGAACACAAAATCTAAATCTCTCTGTAAACACCATTTTCAGTCACTCAAAGACAGACTAAAAACAGTTCGCTGGAACAGCATTCTTGTTTCTCAAAGTAAGCTCTGTCCAGAATCCAAATCATCTCAGAAAATTCCCAAATTTATACACGTTATAGAAAAGGAAGTTCTCAACAACTTTCATGAAGGAAACTTTTCCAAAATCGGCTCAGAAAAGCTTGTAGAAAATAAATACGGTGTAAACATCACCGAAATACCCATTCTGGGCAGTTTCACACGGTCCGAAAATCAGTCCATCGTACCACTCATATCAACTCCAAAAATTCTGAAATTAAAGTATGTAAAACGTCAAGATTTTTGGAACAACTTTCAAGAAGAAAGTATTCTGAAATTCGGATCACAAAAGTCTCCTCAAAAATAACAAAACGAAGGGATACAAAGGATCCGAAACTGGGTTTTCCAAAACAAGAGTAAACAATTTAGTTCTGATTGGAAAACCATCATACTCAAACCATAGCCATTTCCCCGGAACTAAAATTGAGGATATTACAATTTACCTGCGGCTTCCCAGGCCCAAAATCGGGATGTGACATCATCTCACCGTCAGGAGGGGGTATGGCTGACGGGCACCAATCCCCTACTCCGTCAAACGGAACATCAAAGCCACGGACGAGGCCAAACTCATCCATCCCGGCCCTAAACATCTAGGCGGTATAGGTGTGGGCTTGCCAAAGAGGTAGTCCTATGTCTACCCGGACTACAGTTGTGTGCTTGATCCAGGTCATATTATCGTCTATCGGGTACTCTACAACATTGTGGTCGGTGTGCATCGGAATCCCAAAACGTTGGGGCGGCAGCAATGGTAGATTCATGGCTCAGGGCGGGGTTCTGAAATTGTTTGGTTGAAACAACCATGAGACACGTCTCAGCAAGTAACACCCTAAACCCTACCTAGGCTAACACGTACCTCCAGACAAGTTCAAACACCATAACACTCAATAAGCACATCACAGGCACACAATTGCACTTACGTGGGCTCGACCTACACATTAGTCTCAACACACGAATTTCAAACCACATGCACATTCCAAGCTATTCTCATGCCCAAAAGCACATGTCGTACACATGACATTTCCGAACTCCACATTTCACACTCATTCATGCACTACCACACCATTTTCATTTAACTTGCCAACGACCCGCGTAAACACGCCTCAGGTCTGATCTTACTTTCACTTGCCACATCACACATTTCACTTTCAATCTCTTTCCCCGGCCCGCGTAAACACGCCTCAGGCCCCACATTTCTATCGCGACCCGCGTAAATACGCCTCAGGCCCTATCACATTCTCACTTGCCACATCGTATATCTCATTCTCATTCTCTTTCCGCAGCCCGCGTAAACACGCCTCAGGCTTCACAATCGTATCACGACCCACGTAAACACTCCTCAGGCCGGTTCAATTCCCCGCGTAAACACGCCTCAGGGATATAGTGATCACATGAACATGCCAACACGCCGTATTTTATCTGTACCCGCGTAAACACGCCTCAAGGCTTTTTAGTGATCACACGCACATTGCACGCCTCAAATCTCACACGCTCACATACTCGGGCATTAAGTATATGCACTCAAACGCACCCAGTTCAACCGTCACAATTCAACCCACATACATATATACAACCATCATATAGCACGCTATTTTCTACCACAAAAACCATGGCACAACAATCACGGTGTTACACGACAATTTTACGCAATTAATTACCGAATCAAACTATCCATTCCACACGCCAAACAGAATTTTCCAGCATTCAACCAATCAATCACAGCCCTTATTTGGCCTCTAATTTTCCCCCAAAATGCCACAAATTCATCCCTAAGGCCCCTCATTCAAATCAGCCCCTAAAACCAAACTAAACCGTGTCTAAACGAGTCCGTTAATACCCGATATCCTAAATAGGGTTTAGATTGTAACTTACTTGAAATTTCCAAGCAAGCACAACCTATCCAAGGGCGACAAGCCGGCTGGAACGCGGCGGCTACAGTGGTCCGGCTGAATGGCGGCGATCGGCGACAGCGGCGGCGGCTTGCTTGGTTGGCTAGTCACGGCCACGAGAGGGAGAGAGAGATCAGCCGAGAGGGAGAGAGAGACGGCGGCGAGAGGGTAGGGGTGAGGCTGCGGCAAGCTGGTGCTGGACGGGCGGCGACGGGGCGGACAGTGGCCGGACGACGGCCGCACGGTAAAGGGGAGAGGGGGCGATCGGCCGGTGGGGGAAGGGAGAGAGAGAGTGTGTGCCGAGAGAGAGAGGGAGAAATGAGAGGGGGAGAGAGAGAAAATGGTCTAAATATACCAATAATTGACCCCCTTTTGGCAAAATGACCATCTTGCCCCTCTGTCTACTTTCCAATCGACGGCCACGATTCGTTCTTATCTTGAGATCAACGGCCGAGATCGAATCTTTTTCAAAATATCCAAGGGTAAAATGGTGATTTCACAAAAAGTCCAAGGACAAAATTGTCCAAAAATTGTCATTTCTAAAGTGAGGGTAAAATGATCAAAATGCCCTTCCCCATTTACACTTGGCCTTAACAAAGGCCCAAGGGTAAAACGGTCCTTTTTCCATTTCTCGCCGAAATTCGATTTTTTTGAAGGATTCGGACAATTCTAAGGCTGATCATGCTAATAACAACGTCGTCCAAATGCTTTGTCGTGACTTTCTAAATTTCTAATGCCCAACTTGGTCTCTAATTAATGACTAAATTTTAAATAACGTAACTTGAACGTATCTCAGACTAACGGGTGGCTTTTGGGGAAATTCACACATTTGACCCGTGGCCGATACTAAATCAAGCCACGTTCAAGTTCACTCGAGTCATGACAACCTCGGTTGTCACTTAATCGCGAGGATTGATCGCTAGTTCCAACGGGCGCGATCGTTCGGTATAGGTTTAGGGTCATTCATCAGTTCATCTCGTGGTCAAGCGGAATCACCCGCGATCCACTAATATGACAGCGGCGAATTGATCCCTAACTACACTTCGATCGGCCTACATTGGCTCAAAATGTCACCTCGATAATTCTTTGTTCGAAAGTCAGTTCACGATCGAGTTTCTTTGGTCTCGCGAATTTAAATCCCCAATTAGCCTTTCCCTAACGGTTAGTATCCCAGGAATGATCAGTTCCGGGCGAGATCTAACTGTAAGTACGTTCATAAAATCATCCATTTCATAAATCCCAAGTGGGTAAAATTTCAGAATGTCACAATCGCCGTTGCCGAAGTGCCCTCATCGGTGCATTCAGCCATGGTGAGATCAAGTCCTATGGTCGAATGGCTCTGATACCATGAAGAAATGCATATAGCTGTTTGGAGAAAGTTTATATATTCTCTGTATTTTATACATCTCGTTTTACAATGCTTTAGAGTATATATATACACGATGAAGAGAGTCAATCCTAACATTCCTCCTAATCGGGAGATAAAAAAAAAGGACTGGATTAATTTGGATTCCTATATTATCTCTAATTGACAGCTCATGCCAACAATTGCTTCCTCTGTTTGGAGACCCATTACTCATCCATCACAAATCATCGATTTCTTTAATTCCTCTATCATAGATTGCATAAATACTAATATTTGGATCGAGGGTAAGTCGACCCACAATATACCTTGGAACATTATCTTTGATCTACTTGTTAATTACTTTGGAAAAATCTTAGTGAACTCTTCTTTCATGACAAAAAATTTTCACTTCCTTTCCTGCTGCAAAATGCTAATAGTTTGGCTACTGAATTCCATATCTATAAGAATAAAGTACAAGGCAGTACAAAATATAAGATTATTTCAGTCAGGTGGAAAGCACCACCGCAAGGGCTTATTCCTCCATGGCCCCACTCGCATCCGGTGATCTTGTTCTTCAGGCTCCCCAAAACCAGACCTTGGAAATTTGCTTCAGCACTGCCTCCCAACGTGCGAACATATTATTGTTGTTCCGTGCGAAACGCCTCCGCAGCTTTTCCGATAGATGTCCAGCTAGTCCACAATGAGGGACTTGATCAGACATTATAAATAGCCTAAGCTTCTTCATATTTTTGAACGAGACTGCATTCACGATCAAGTCTTCTACATCAACCTTGTCTAGTTTAATACCTTCAATGGCATCCGTTCCCTGTTAGAGCAAAATAAAAATAATTATGCATGTCAGAAGCACTTGAAAATAAGCAGATATCTAAAACGTTGCGAAAATTAGTCTAACTCTAAGAATAATGTTTACTTTTGTATTAAAATCGTGCTAGTATAAATACCATTATAACACACATCGTTTCTAAATGAAGATGTACACATCGTAATTTTAAGGAGAAAATTGACAAAGCACGAAATGAAGATCCTACACCCAATTTCTTGCTTAAACCCTGATTGGAAAAACTAAAAATTGCCTATCTGGCTATCCTAATTATGCAATATAAAGTTTTTTTATACCATGTAAACGTGAAGTCCACAAAAAAACATATGCATATATGTTCAAATTAATTTCTTCTTAGGACATGCTTAATTCTTACCGAATGTTGCCTAACCACTTGTAGAGCATCCTCATGATGCCATATTCGGCTTCGCTTGCTAGGGTTTGCCGGGCACTCTTGAATCACGATTCGTCTACCTATTTCTTGAAGCAAATCATGCATCCATATTTTATTGTTTTCATCAATGTATATGAGCGACCTTTGAGCCAGAATCTCAATCCCACTATTGGCATAGATACCACATTGGTCTAGGGACTCGATGATCTCTTCATGGTCATATCCATTAAGAAAACATGCGATGTCAAGAAAAATAGTCCTCTCGTTGGCCTCCAAGCCATCGATAACAATCCTCATTATTTCATGAATGTTTCCTAGAGGGATTTCTTTCAGTCGATCAAATGCTTTTTGCCATTCTTTGACGCTTTTGCCATTCAAGAAAGAACCCATCACGGTGAGTACTAAAGGAAGCCCTTTGGAAAAACTGGTGAAGCAATTTGAGAGCATCTTATAATCACTTTTGGGATACCTTTCTTGGAATGCATTCCAACTGAAAAGCTCAAGAGCTTGATCATCATTCAGTGCTCTTACCTTATAGATATCCCCGCATACACCAATTATGGTCTCTTCATGTCGGGGGATCAAAATGACTTTACTTCCCGAGCCTAAGTTCATTGCCTTGATCAAGTGGCTTAGAGGCTCCGACAATCCTTCAACATCATCAAAGACCAACAAAACCCTCTTCTTGTGAAGCTTACTCCTCATGAAGTTTATTACTGCATGAATATCGTTCCCAAAGTCTGAAACTCCATCACCGAGAATGTCATCAAAAAGGGTCTCCTGCATTTTGACGAGGCCATATTGACCCGATATATCCTTCAAATTCGCTAGAAAGCAACTCCGATCAAATTGATCTGCAATTCGGTAGTACAAAACTCTCGCAAGTGTAGTCCTTCCTATTCCGCTAGTGCCGGAAATTCCCACAACTTGGACACCATCAACCTGTAATTGGAGTAATGAGTACAAGGCTTGTAGCTGAGAATCTAACCCAACTGAATGGAAAGCAAGCAGGTTCATGCGTAAGCTGCTCAGTCTTCTTGAGATTTTCTCCACAATGGATTGGATGAATTCAGCTTCAAGTCTGCAAGTTATCACAACTAAAGGTGTAACTTTGGCTATTCGTTCTAGTAATAGATGAAGGAAAGATCAATAAGATTATACTCTAGAACTTAGGAGTATCGTCCATCTAATCTGATCTAATCTCCAATCCACGATAATTGTAGGAGAAATTTATCTTTCCAAACATCCAGCAAGCTCTTTGACTTTCCTTTGTAAGTACAATTAGTACTTCAAACAATTACAAGAGCAATAAGATGTAAGAATTATTCTTGAACAACTAACATATAATTGTAGGAGAAATTTATCTTTTCAAAAACCCAGCCAGCTCTTTTGTTGGATGCTGCCTATGCTAAATTTAGGGTCAACATTCCAAAGATAGCATTTCTTGGTGATGCATATATGTACAGGATACTATGTATATGTACCAAAGAAGAGAAAATCTTTTGTGGCTAATTGTTTGAGAAACAAATTAAAAGAAGAGGGATAGAAATAAGTCAATGAAAAAATTCTCTACGCTCACCGAAAAAGAGGTTCTACTATAGAGAGTTTCTTGGCCAAAATAGGAAATAATACAGAAGTTTTTTTTTTGGTCGAAATAATACAGAAAGTTAAGAGAGAGAGAGAGAGAGAGAGAGAGAGAGAGAGAGAGAGAGAGAGAGAGAGAGAGAGAGAGATTCAAGGCAGGCAACAAGATAGACGAGAAACAAACTGGAGGCTGAACTTTCTTTTAAACCCTAGCTAGGTACCACAGTTCAAAAGATAGAAAGACTGACAACAACTTTGTTTTCTTTTCTTTTTTGCCTTTGACAGATAGATCATTCCATAGTGGAGAGCTTTGGTGGTGAAAGAAATGGTTGCATACAGCTAGGGTTTACCCGGTGTTGGCCGTATGGACTTGCCCATTTTGGTTCTCGTTAATATTAACGAACGAAAGCGTGGGGCTTCTGATAACCTCCTATAGAAAAAGTAGCTCATGTTCTATGGAGTTCGCCCACTTGTGTGTTTTCAACAATGGGACTCAGAGTAAGTGAGGGAAATGATCCATGAAGGAAATGGGCAATGGCGAAAATCATTGTTCTCTAGAGATTTAAGGAATCCTCTCTAAAAAAACACTTCAAGAGAAAAAGATAGTACCTGTTTCCCAGAGGCCACCCAGTGAGATTGCCAGCTTTGTGGAGAGCGTCTCTCCACCTCCGGACCTTGTTAGCATTCTCCTTCCTGAAACCCTTCTCGCTTTGGCCAATCTGCCTGAATGGTCCGGACTGCTCGCGCATCTCTCTGGGGTCGACGTCCACGAAAATGAGGAACACCAGCTGGCCTTTCTTTTCCTTGCACTCAAGGATCTTATCCAGCTCATCCAGGCACCATGGCGAGGAGGCGTAGGTCTGAGAGATGATGACGATGGCGCTCCTCGACCGCTCGATCACTTCGTTGATTGCAGGTGCAATCTCTAGTCCTCTTTCCAAACTGAGGTCAACAAAGGCCCTTATCTTGTTCCGCTCAAGAGCAGAGTGGAGATGGCTCACGAAGTTGCGAGTGTCGGCCTGTTTATAACTAATGAACGTGTCGTGAGCGTACCAAGGGATGGAGGAGGGGGGCAAGAAGAGCTGTGGTCTGGCGGTGAGGCTATGTTTGAGAGAAGCGAAGTGGAGTGGAAAGAAAGAGGGCAAAGATATGGGACGAGACTGCAATTGGAATTGTGATGTTCTCTTGTTTTGGAGGCCAGGATTCAATGGAGAAGGAAAAAAAGGAGGGAAAAGCTTGCCGTTGAGTTGGCAAAATTGGATCATCATCTTACCGGAATTTACCATTGAAACACCCCCAAGAGTAAAAGTAAAGAAAGAGCTGTACCGAGTTAAATCACAATGCAAGCTCTTTTACCTATTTATAGAATTCAGATTCTGAACCCTCTCTCTCTCTCTCCGGGCTCACCGGGAGCTGGAATTATCATAAATATTATTTTTTCCGCACGCCATCTCTCTTGATCTGGAATCGCCGTAGAGATATAGCACTAGATGGAATTTCCTTTCTCAAGTGCTTTCCTTTTGACTGTCTCATCTGTTTTACCTTTTCCTCAGTAAAAGAATCTTTGGACTTCATATTTTGCTTGTTGGAAGGGTGATATCCAACTTTACACTTGGATTCGGCTTTATTTCATGCGTTCGACTCCAAAACTTTTTTCTAGTTATTACTAAACTAGTAGAATAAACAAAATGAATAAAAGAGAGCATCTCAAACAATGTGAGATGAGGAAAAATAAGGAAAGCAAGCCTTTTGAAATACTTTACATCAGTTGTACCGCGTTTCCATTTTTGTCGACCCTCCATTTTGAATCTTGAGGATACTTTTGCCATATGGTACTTCGCTAACTTAGAGAGATTAGTTAATGAAGGATGAAGATTGTAGGCGCAGAATGATATTAAAAATAGAATATTCTTCATTGGTACTTGATTGAGTATAGTTTTTGCAAAGAAAGAGCTCTACCGAATTCATTCACAATGTAATTAGAAAGTCAAATTCTGAGCGCTTTCTCTCTCTCTCCCCTTCCCATTCACTCACACACTGTAATGTTTTTCCGTGACATCCGGCCATAACAATTCATTCATTTGCGCATGCCCACACACAAATTGTGATATTTTTCAGTGAGACATGACCATATGCCGTGCACACGATGCTGATGTGTCCAATTCATCAATCTTATGCGTGCATGTCCAACACCCTTTTTTTAAAATTGGCAAGCTAGTAAAATAGATTCATTAATCAAGTGAATAAGAGAGAGCTAGTCAAGCAATGTGAAAAGAAACACAAAAAGAGCAAAGTGTTAGTTTTTTGAACTATTTTTTTAAAATAGTTGTTTTGTGTCACGCCCAAACCCCATCGAGCTCGCGATATCCCGCTCCGTCGAAATAATGCGACGTCCCGAACGCCGCCGACCCAACCCAAACATCGTAGCCACATGCGGAAGCGAATAATAAAACCCCCGGACAAATAATGACGACAACGGGGCAGAAACAATGTAACAGTCCAGCAACCACATATTCATACAACACCAAATATACAAACATCATATTCCAGACATAAATACAGAACTAACATCCTCGCTCACCGTTTAAACAAAAGATCGAGGTCTGTTAACTTAACTTCCCTATGGGTCAACCCGATTTACAGTGGCCACTCAAAAATGGCGTCGGCCTCAAAAAATAACCTCAAACGACCTCGAATCGCCATCGGTGACTGCAGGGCAAAATGGTCATTTTCAGTCCCTGACCGAAATCCATTTTTTACGTAAATGGGTGGTCCAAGGTTGGCCAAGCCAAAAACGTCATCGGCTGTCCAAAATTGTCACTTTCAAAATTCTCGATTCCGGCCCGAATTCCAAGAAATGACTAAAATCGAGCAATAGCAACTTTAGCTTATCTCCTGGCTAACGGGTGGCTCTCCTGGAATTACGTGGCTTCGACCCGTGACCGACACTAAGTCAAATCACGTTTAAGTTTACTCCACCCGGACGACCTCGGTTGTCATATAATTGCGAGTGTCCGTCACTAGTGCCCTTTGGACACGATCAATCAAATAGATCGGTCTCGGTTGGCTCAAAACATTCCTCGTCAATCGATATGGTCGAAGTCGAACCTGTGTCGAGTTCTTTGGTCGTGCGAACTCAATCCCGTAATAGCCTTACCCCTAAGGTTAGCATCCCGAGAATGCGCATTTCCGGGTGAGATCTCACTATAAGTGCATTGGCCAAAATATTCATTTCATGAATCCTAGGAAAGAATCGAAATTCGATGTTACATTTTGGGTCGTATCGAGGCAATAAATGGTGGATACAAGATATATTCAAGCTTACGAGAAGTGAAAATTCACCCTCACTCATCAATATGACCAAATCAATGATAGAGCATGCACATCCAACGTAATATTGATTGCGATCAACTACCAAACACCGAAATCTCAAATAAACAAAACGCAGAATCCTATAGCCATTGGTCAAAGAAGGCATCCTTAAGTTTTTACATATTTTTGTCACTTAATGCCCCTCTACATAAGATTTCTCAGAATGGACACGTCAGTGACCACTTTATGATGATGAGAGTCATCACCAGCATAGAATCCCATACACTTGTTGAGTAAGATTATTGATTAACCAGACTTAAGCTACAAAACAAGCTCCACCTTGCAGACCGATTCTAATGGAATAAATGCTTTAAGCTGTCTTTGATCTGCGACACTTCTTTTGCGGAACAATGCAAGAGTGCAACTTTGACAGACTAAGCATTTCAGTCAAACATCCAACTTTAGCTCAATCTTAGTAGATGCTAAATTTCTGATGGTTACACATGGATAAATGCTGCGTTGATCTTAGTTCAAACGACCAAGCAGCAGAGCCAGCCAAAACTTTCAGATGTAAACAATAAGATGATCTCATTGGCCAAGATGAAGACCAATAAGAGGAGCAAATTCAATAGAGATAATGGCAGAAACCCTAACCTGATGCGACGTAAAATTGTCTGTTTCTTCTTCTCTGTTACAGATGGACGAAGACAATCAATACGGCGAAAGCGCTGTCTTGATGCAATTTTAGCTTTTATATACGACAGTACCTAAAAGTTTGAAAGCATATGCTGACATTGTGACATATAACTTTTTATTGTTTTCAAGACTAAAAATGATGTTTTCCCATTTATTTTATGAAACAGGGTAGAATTTTTTTAATAAGAATCCAAACAAACTCTAGTTTTTTGTGAAATATTTTCATCATTAAAGAAATAAAAAAATTCTTTGAAAATTACACATGAGAAACATAGATGAATTTTGTAGGGTATCGTGACCGAGAGGTTTGTGTCGACATGATCTTGATTAGAGGTGAAACTGAGTCAAGCTACTCGATAGTAACTCGGCTTGACTCTACTATATGAGTACTCGAGATCAACTTGCCAAATTTCGAGTCAAGTTCGAGTTCAAACTACTCAAGTATCTTGTCAAGTGAGCTGGAGCGTGTCAAATATTCAACTCGATAGGCTTTGGGATTTCACAGTTTTTTGTTCAATAATTATAAAAGTAGACACAAGATACTTAAAATTACATACCACTCGAGCTTTATTTATAAGTCGATTGGAGTTGAGTCGATTTCGAGTATCTCGATTTTCTAATCTAGTCGAGCTTAAGCAGATAATTAATACCCGATTGAGCTCGCCAAGCTCTTCGAGCACAGAACTTGCGAGTATAATCAAGTATAATCAAGTACTCGAGATCAACTTGCCAAATTTTGAGTCAAGTTCGAGTTCAAACTACTCAAGTATCTTGTCAAGTGAGCTCGAGCTTGTCAAATATTCAACTCGATAGGCTCTGGGATTTCACAGTTTTTTGTTCAATAATTATAAAAGTAGACACAAGATACTCAAAATTACATATCACTCGAGCTTTATTTATAAGTCGATTGGAGTTGAGTCGATTTCGAGTATCTCGATTTTCTAATCTAGTCGAGCTTAAGCAGGATAATTAATACCCGATTGAGCTCGCGTTGCTTTTCAAGCATAGAACTTGCGAGTATAATCAAGTTCAAGCTTGGATGTGTACTGACTCGACTCGGCTCAGCACCTAATCCGAATCGACTTAATATTTATGAAAAGAAAAAATAAAAAAGGCCCGTAATGGACATAGGCTCGCGAATGGTCCTAACATCAGTGAGCCTTCACCAAGGCAGATGAAGCCCAAAAGCTTAAGAGATAAGAAAGCCCGCGGTGACGCTCTATTGACATCCTGTGTGTATAGTTGCATAGACATGCCTTCACCTCCTCTTTAGACTTTATATTGTATGCTCTCTTTTTCACGAGAAATTATTATTATCAGTATAATACATGTATTAAATTGAATTTTCACCATTAAATAATGGGTTTCACACGGTTCCAAGTGAGTCCCACTAGATCTATTGGTTCAGATTCCTTCTAATGCTTGTACCGGATTCATTAAATAATCTAGCCTTACACTAACTTAAAGAGGATCGAGGACCGTCACGGATTTATACAATAAATAACACAGGCAATGTACATGGTAAGCTTTTTTTTTTGTTTTTTTTTTGGGGGGGGGGGGGGGGGTGATAAGTATTTAAACTCGTCGAAAATTTATTCCGATTATTTTTTGCTTATCGCAAGAGAATTGTTGAATTTGACCAAAAAATAAAAAAGAAAACGAAAATCTAGTAAGCTGATAAAAATGCAGGCCCAGGTTACGTTCTAAAATCAAATCCAGGATTGAACTTAAAAGATTCAATTTTTATAAGTGTTTTTTTTTTTTTTGCTCTCTAATTTTTATAAGAGTTGAAATGCCTAGTTTTATGCAAATCCGACTTCTGTATAAAGTGTGATAAACGCAATCTGACCGGGCTCCTACTTATATGTCCATATTGATTCTAAACAAAAGATGATGACCCTTGTGTATTATTCTGGATTAATCACAATTATCACATTAGTTGAACGCAATTATAAAGTTAATCGAAATTTAAAAAAAAAATCAGGGGAATTGTAGTGAAGTACACCAGTATGAAGTGTCATTACTAATCAAAATGTTTAAATGGATGAATAGCAGCACTACATGATATAAGTTGCCACGCCAGTTCATAAGGTTTATTGGATTCATTACAACGTACATATACTTTTCGTCCCTTGAACTTCAAGATTGTGTGGAATGGCTTCAGCTTCGGCCACTCAAATTCGCACTACTTACTCCAGGACCAAAACCCAAGACGAGTTGGTTCATCAACATGAACATCAATGTTGCTGCGAAGCCAAATGCACGAGGAAGTATAGCTTTCTCGCTTCAGATGTAATCTTGGTAAAAGGCCTAATTCGCATAGGTTTGGCATATTACAGCGTTTTGTATGGTATCATATAGAATTCACGCACAAGTCGTGTCATAGATCACATTTAACAGCAGTAGTTGTAGGCAATGCAATCGAGCCGTTCAGGAGAAACTAAATAAATAGTGTTGAGTATTATGCTGAAAACATATATAGGAAGGAAAAAGATGGCTTCTCTAACTTTCGAGTGATAACTACTCATAAGATCACTCGTTTTGTCACTTCTAGTTCCACATGCAACCCGGTGTAAGTTCTTATATATTGAATTGCTTGAATGCCGACTTAATCAAGCATCATAATGATAGCATACTTAGGCTCTCATACCTGAGCAATAAAAGTTTCGTTTTCACAACAGTCGCAAACATTGCCACAAACTAGTAATTTTCAAAGTGGACCAATATGCAAGGGTGTGTTTCAAGAAATAATACTTCGAGAGAGGAGAACCGATTTGGTTAAAGAGGAGTGGGACACTAGAACCCTTTTTGTACTGTCCCAAGCATTCCAGAGGTTTCGAGTTATCCCGTCGTGTCAAAAGTATAGTCACCACAAGTATTTTAGTATCAGTTCGATTGCGATACAACTGGTGAAGGCTTGTATCCAAAAGTGCACATTCATAAAGAGAAAAGTGGAAACCTCGAAGCTTCTTCCATTTAAACAAACATAAGGTTCTCGCGATCTGTGGTTCTTAATGTTTGATCACCCGTTGTGGAGGGAATATGTTCCACAGAAGACAGAAGATTTGTGCAGCATCAGTTTTATCCGAACTGTAAGCACCAAAAGGCATGTCCGGTCATTAGTGCTAGTCACCAGGAAGAAAATATCAAGAGGGTCAAATTTTTCTAACTGGTGTTCAAAGTTATTTCTGAGAGGAAGAAAAACAAAAAATGTCTAGGTTTCGTCTCGATGTACAGATAAGTTTTGCAAGGTAACATATTTTGACTACGGGTGAAGATCATCCGATCCATCGCCTCTTCACTGATCCGGTACTGGCACGTGTACGTTTTCATCTTTTCTGTGCCGCACAAGATAACAGCGCAATCCCCTCAAAAAGTATTCCAAGAACCTAGTACATATGCTAAACCGAATAAAAAGAAAAGTGGGAATCACATATGACCCACATGAGACTGATCATATTTAATATTGCAGATTCAGTTTAGCATATGTACAACTATCATGTAATAATCTCTCTCTCCACTCGAACTAGTTTTGATTGCCGCACATAAAACTTAAAGTTCAAGCATCATGTTCAGCTCAAGAGCATTAATATTAGGGTTTGCTCGAAGCTCGTTCATTGGCATCAACCACCAGTGATTGCTGGTTGCCGGAGCCACTGCCGACCATCGCCATTCGTCATCCTCCTCAGCTGGCTCCGAATCATTAGCAACGATGCAACTAGGAGCTCCCCTTACCAGTTGAACAATAGACGGTCATAGAAAACTGTTATCTCCGTCAATTCTTATCACGGTCGCCACTGCTCTATTTCGACCAGCTTCTTGGTCGGGAAGGCTTGAAGTGGCCCACGCTCATTTGAAGACTTGTCCTCAACACCTATCAGCTCAGGTGATTTATTTAGAGCCTCCCGGGTTCAGATTCCGTAACTACAGCTAGAGGATTCCTCCTTCAGCCACGTAATTTCATCATGGTGAAGTTTGAGGCCGAGAATTGTCCATGTCACTTATGTATAAATCTTTGAAAATCCAAATATGAGCCGCTCGTCATGCTCTTGCTCTCTATTTGCACTAAAATAAGCACCATACGAAACTTTTGGCACTTCTAGTATCCTTTTGCCCTTTTCTAACTATATAAAAAAGTGAGGTTTACAATTGAAAGAGGGAGCTCACAATTTGAGGACACGGAGGGGTATCCAAAAAAGAGGAAATCAAGGAATCGCACATAGATATATTGGAGCACTTCCTTGATTGAGTTTCAAAAGAAAAGGAGATCCACTGAGGTTGAAGGAGAATGATATTTGGTCAAGGAGGAAAGAGTCAAAGAGGTGAGATTTGGACTTGTGTGAAGCTTGGTCAAACGAAGAACATTTTTGAAAAGAAATATCGTGGGTTCTATCCACGGTAAAAAAGAATAAAAAGAAAATAAAGTTGATCACATTGGAATCATATATTCGGTCACACAGGAACTAAATATACTTATTCTAAAGCAAGATATAAGAGATCGCACGAAAGATAAGAAGTCAAGCTTATAAAAGAAAAAAGAGGATAGACTTCTTCAATACACGAAGAAGGGGACGTTAGTGAAGGCGGTTCACAATATACAAGGAAAAATCAAGGCAGAGAGAGGACTACTCTCGCACCACTGGCGTCGCCATACCTACGCTGCCACTGTTGCGCTCCTTCTCGACGCTTGTTGCTGCCCGACGCTGCTTCTGAGTCACACCAGCCTCCTGAAGTCCGACAGCAATTAGTCCACCGGAGGCAACAGCGATAGCCACACTTCAAACCAGACCATCGCTGCTGCTTCGTCCATTGCTGAACCGCATCATCACCGGTGTTTTTGTCGCGCCTATAAACTCTCTACCGGACCACACTTCCTTCTTTGCAGGTTTCCGGGCGTCCCTAATGTCTTGACGAGCTTCAACAGTTGCTGCTTGTTGCTCTTCCAGTCATGGTTATCACCAGCCGAGCTTCTAACGCCGTCCATGCTCCATAGCGTTTCTGCACCAAAGAACGCGCGCTCAAACGAGAACACACTCAGTCAAAAATCTGATCTTGTGACGCTGCAGCGGCGGACACTTCTGGCTGAAGAAAAAAAGGGTCTTTCACACGGTCAACTGATATACACAACACTTCCAATCTCTAAGCTTGGCGGTGTCCTCCTCCGTCTGTGGCTGCCCTTCACTCGTGGTCCTCCTTGCCGGTTTCGCCGGATGTCGTGAACAATCCTACCACCGGCGGTCTTCGTTGGACACGATCTTCCAATTTAGGTAACTTCCGAAATTAAACTCAACTCAAAGATCTAGTTAACTAATTTGGATCATTGCAATTCTAATTTTGCTTGAGATTTTTAGGCATAATCAAACAGGAAATTTCCCGTTTTGAGTTATGCATATAATCGAGAATTCATTCTTTAAGAATTAAGATCGGGTTATTGATTACTTTTGTTTTCTATTTTGGGTTGAGGTGAATATTGAATAATATGGGTTTGGATGTTGTGTATTATAAAGTTAATAAACTTTCTTATTTTGAAAAATGCAAAAAAAAAATGCATTGCATATTAATATAGATTAGATTTCTATTTTAGAATTGCATATTTATGAACCATGTAGTTAATTAGGTAATGACCTAATTTAGAATAGTATTTAATAGAAATTATTTCCTAAGTTTAAATCAGGTAATCACATATTGTAGTTTTTTTTAAATATTAGTCTTAAAAGAAATTCTTAAATAAATAGCATGCATATATTATATAGATTTAGTCTCAATATATCACATATCATATCATCGTTGCCCCATGGTCATCATTTACATGTAATCGTTGTCACGTCATCATTGTTACTATGTCGTTATATGCCATGTCATCGTTGTCATGTCATTATTTCCACGTCATAATTTCCATGTCATTAGTGATTGCACGTTTAGGGACATTTGAATTAGATTGCATGTTATGTTAGATTAGGTCGTAAGTTTTGCTTATCATTACCATTAGATCGTGTCACATTGCATATATAGTTTGGTTTTCATAAATGAGAAAACCCAAAAAGAATTAATTAGAACTACATAAGCATTTAGAGAGAGAGATGCGATGGCCTTTATTAAGTAAATGTGCCTAGCTTTTTTACGAGACATTTAAATTGGGCTGATGGGCCAAGGTCCAATAAACTAGACCTATTGGATCCACGTGCATGGGCAGAGGTTGAGATGGACCAGCATCAAGATAATAAGATATTATTGTTGTGTCGTGCGAAACACCTCCACAACTTTTCCGACAGATTTCCGGCCGGTCCACAATGAGGGACCTGATCAACCATAATAAATAGCCTGAGCTTCTTCATTTTTTTGAACGAGTCTGCGTTCAAGATCAACTCTTCTACATCAGCCTTGTCTAGTTTAATTCCTTCAATTGCATCCGTTCCCTGCTAGAGCCAAATAAAATTAATTATGCATATTGGAAGCACTTGAAAAATAATTATGCATATTGAACTAGGCCATTAGACTGTTACCGAATTTTGTCTAACCGCTTGTAGAGCATCCTCATGACGCCATATTCTGCTTCGCTTGCCGGGGTTATCAGGACACTCCTGAATCACAATTTGTCTGCCCATTTCTTGAAGCAAATCATGCATCCATACTTTGTTATTTTCATCGATGTATATGAGTGACTTTTGAGACAAAATCTCAATCCCACTATTGGCATGGACACAGCATTGTTCTAGGGACTTGATGATCTCTTCTTTGCCATATCCATTAAGAAAACATGCGATGTCAAGAAAAATCATTCTCTCGTTAGCCTCTAACCCGTCAACAACAATCCTCGGTATTTCATGAACCTTTCCCAGAGGCATTTCTTTCAGTCGATCAAAAGCTCCTTGCCATTCTTTGATGCTTTTGCCTTTCAAGAAAGAACCCATCACAGTGAGTATGAAAGGAAGACCTTTGGAAAAACTGGTGAAGCAATTTGAGAGCATCTTATAATCACTTTTGGGATGTCTTTCTTGGAATGCATTCCAACTGAAAAGCTCGAGAGCTCGATCATCATTTAGTGGTCTTACGTTATAGATTTCCCCGCGTAGACCGATTAAGGTTTCTTCGTGTCGGGGTATAAAAATGACTCTACTTCCCAAGCCCAAGTTTATTGCCTCGATCAGCTGGATCAGTGGCTCCGACAACCCTTCAACATCATCAAACACCAACAAAACCCTTTTGTTTTGAAGCTTACTCCTCATGAAGTTTATTTCTACATTGATATCATCGCCAAACTCCGAAACTCCACCGCCGAGAATGTTACCAAAAAGGGTCTCCTGCATTTTGACGAGGCCATCTTGGCTAGATATATCCTTCATGTTCGTGAGAAAGCAACTCCGATCAAATTGATCTGCAATTCGGTGGTACAAAGCTCTCGCAAGTGTCGTCTTACCTATTCCGCTAGTTCCAGAAATTCCCACGATTCGGACCTCCTCAACCTCTAACTGGAGTAAGGGGAACAAGGCTTGTACTTGATAATCTAACCCAACTGGATGGAAAGCAAGCAGGTTCATGCATGAGCGGCTCAGTCTTCTTGAGATTTTCCCCACAACGGATTGGATGAATTCAGCTTCAAATCTGCAAATTGTCACAACTAAAGGTGTGACTCCGGTCGTGCTAATAAAAGATGAAGGAAAGATCAATAAGATTATATTCTAGAACTTACGAGTATCGTCCATCTAATCTAATTTAATGTCTCATATCCAATCCACTATAATAAAAATTAGTGGCATGTGAGAGGTTGACATGGGCTCTCATAGTAGTGGCACATCTCCGTCTCTTACAAGTTTGACTTCTTTATATTTCTTGTTATTATTTTGTACTCTGGAAGATGTCTGGACTTGCCCATTTTCTCTTTAATATTAACGAAAAGAAAGCATGGGACTTCTGAGAACCTCCTATATTAAGAGAAGCTCGTATGCTTTGGATAAACTTGTTTTTTTGTTTAGTTATGGAATACAAAATATGAAATAAGGGTTACAACTAGGAAAGAAGGAAACCCCGTCCATACTTCTTACTTTAACGTTTAACAGATGGTCATCTATCGTTTTATTTAACTTAACACTTCTAACTCGCTATATGAGGAGATCAGCATAGGCTTGAACATATGATTCTGGGGTAAAATCTGATAAACGCTTAGAGGAAAGCTGTTGTTTATGGAGGATAACAGACGGTGCAAGGAGTGTAACTTTAACAATCACAACAGCACACAATTGGGTTGGAGTCCTATTTTAGGAAAATTCATTAACGTGGCTCCGATAACCTGTTAAGAAGGTCAAACTCAGAAGCTTAAACCAATAAGTGGTGAAAGACCATATGTATATAAAAAGCATATAAATCTCATAGTCACATGATGTAGGATAATTCAACAAAGAGCAAGTTCTGTTGTTTCATGCACAAAATAAGTAACTCCCTTCAGCAATCCTCTCAGGAAAACATTTAAGGAAGAGAGAAAGTCAGCACCTGTTTCCAAGAGGCCAACCAGTGAGATTGCCAGCTTTGCGGAGAGCATCTCTCCACCTCCGGACCTTGTCGGCATTCTCCTGCCCAAAACCCTTCTCGCTTTGGCCGATCCGAGTGAACGATCCAGACTGCTCGCGCATCTCTCTAGGGTCGACATCCACGAAAATAAGGAACACCAGCTGGCTTTTCTTTTCCCTGCACTCGAGGATCTTATCCAGCTCGTCCAGGCACCATGGCGAGGAGACGAAGGTCTGAGAGATGACCACTATGGCGCTCCTGGATTGCTCGATCGCCTCATTGATTGCTGGTGCAATTTCTAGTCCTCTTTCCAGATTGCAGTCGACAAAGGCCTTTATCTTTTTCCGCTCAAGAGCCTCGTGGAGATGGCTCACGAAGTTACGCGTATCGGCCTGTTTATAACTGATGAACGTGTCATGAACCCATCGACAGATAGAGGAGGGGGGCAAGAAGAGTTGCGGCCTTGCTGTTAGGCTATGTTTGAGAGAAGAGAAGTGGAGTGGAAAGAAAGAGGGCAAAGAGATGGGAGGGGATTGCAATTGGAATTTTGATGTTCTCTTGTTTAGGAGGCTTGGATACAATGGAGGAGCAGAAAAAGGAGGGAAAAGCTTGCTCTTGAGTTGGCCAAATTGGATCATTATCTTACTAGAATTTGCCATCGAAACACCCCCAAAATCGAAGTAAAGAAAGAGCTGTACAGAGTTCATTCACAGTGCAAGCTCCTCTGACCTATTTATAAAGGAAATTCGAATTCTGAGCTCCCTCTCTAAATCTCTCACTGACACACACACACACTGACGTAGTGTTTTTTCCCTTTTGCTCCAATGTGTCACATCCATCACTCTCCAGACAAACTATAATATTTGTCCGTGAGATATCACCATCTGTTTGACCTATTCTTGGAAGTTTGAACCGCACTTGTGGGCAGCTACTGATAGAATCTGACGCAAATCGAAGCAGAAACAACATGCCATGGGGGAGCACAAGTTGTTGCACTGAAAAAGAGAAGCTATTACATTCAATGTGTGGTCAATATACCTCATGAGAAAGTAGCTTTCGGATGATCCGATGACCTCTTTTTGTGGCAAATAGACGAAAAAGATCGATAGTTCTAGGTTAGTTTCTAACCAAGTTATTGTTGGAATAAATTCTCGAGAACCCCAAAAAAGATCCCATGCCATACCCACTCGTGTAATGCAACTAGCCTAAATTCCCAACAAAGTGAAATATTGACCAAATAACTAAAAGTTTCCAATGGGGAGATACTAATGAGAAAAGAAATTCCACTGGCTTAATTGGGATTTATTAGCTTTGCCAAAAGAGAAGGAGGTTTAAGGAGATGTTTGGTTCAGCTTTGAGAAAGAACTTTGAGCCTCTAAAGCCCTTTGGGGAAATTTTTGAGTGTTTGGCATATTATTTTGGGACCTCTTTGGCCAAATGTTGGCCTTGGGAAGGCTGAAAGCTCAAGGCTTGTCCTAGGGTACCTTGAACTTTCAGCATTCTCGGAATGCTAGTCCCCCAATTAATGAAAATATGCTAGTTACTTTTTTTGCCCTTAAAATTTTACTAAAAGCCCACTTTTGCCCCTTTTAAAAAAGAGAAACCCTAGTATTCGTCCCCCACCTCCTCACTAATTTGTTCATTGGCTCAGACTCACGCTTCCACCTCGCTCGTCGACCTCCCTCGCTCATCTCGTCGCGCCTCACTTGCCGACCTCGCCTCACTCTCTGGCCTCGCCTCGCCTCCTCACTTGTCGACCTCCCTCGCTGGGCTCGCCGCGCCTCACTTGCCGACCTCGCCTCACTCTCCGGCCACGCCTCACCTCACCTCCTCGCCAGCCTCGCCTCGTCTCGCCTCCTTGCTCAGGTATGCTTAATTTGCAGTTGTTTTCACAAATTATTATAAGGGGAGAGGGGCAATTGATATTCCTTTTGTTCTTGGTATTGTCTATTCTTGGTGATTACCGTGCTGAATCACTTGGGGCAAATTCTGAAGGAGGATGTTCGTCAATGACATGCTAATGTCTATGTTACCAAGATGGAACTCCAATACTTGATGCTTTTTGTGACTTTGAACTCCAATTCAAACTAGGATGAAGCTTTTTGTTGCTAAACCAGTGAATGGGTTGCTAATTGATATAGAAAGAATAAACAAATGAATCGTGGGATAGAAAATATTCATAACACAGAAAGATTAGTTTGTTCTGCAGTCAAATTTATCAACTTGGAATAGAAAATACTTTCCTAGTTTTCTTGGTTGAAAGATGTACAGCTTGTTAACAAATCCGGTAGGCGAGCTTTTGCAACCTTGTCACTGGTGAAATTAGAAGTGTTGCTGCTGGAGTAAATATCATGTAGACTGGCTTATTCATGTTAATTGTCAATTGTAATTTCTATAGTATTTAAGGTCCATGAGCGTTGAAAGGTCTATTTTCACTTCTTGTTGAACCTCTATAAGAACCTGCAACATTTGGATCGCTTTGTTTTGTTGAAAAAAAAATGATCTTTTGATGTGGTTTTCTTGGTGGAATAACTTTACTCTCTAACATTTGATGCTGAAAATGGAATATGGATAAAGTAATTTGCTTGATGAATGGTGCGTCTTAAAAGCTTGTAAGTTTCAAGAGTTGGATAAGAAACTACTTTTGTATTGTTCACACCTTCTATGTATACCAATGGGCCGCTGCACTCCTTGGTGGACGAAATTTGCTAGAAACTTGCACAGGCTTTTAAAGTCTGATTCTGGGGAAAATGCTTCGATAAGGAGAACTTCATAAGTGGGATTTGGCTAACTTCCAAATTACAAAGTGGTAAAACTTTTGAGGAACTCATATTGCAGATGACGGGGATGAAGTTACAATTTTGTCATGTTTCCGGTGAAAAGCTGTATGATTTAGTAAGAATGGCTAGATGGTCACATCTTGGCTCTTAACTTTTTCTAGGTTAAACTCTTTTTTTCCGGAGATATAATAAAGAGGAAACTGTGAAATGCGCTTTCTCTCAGCTCATTCAAAGACCTCTTACTCTGTGTATACACTTCTTGAATTGTGAGCATTCACCAGTCACCAGTAGAACAATTGTAGCAGATTTCCTGTCCAAGAGCTCATACTATGTATATACTCTTCATAATTAATCTTGTTTGTTTGTGCCTCTCAATTTTGTTCATGTTACTTTACTAGTAGATGGCAATTAAGGCATTTTGGAGCTCAGAAGATGTAGAAACCTTTTGTAAGTTGTGCATTGAACAAATTGAAACAGGCAATCGTCCGGCAAACAACAAAAGGGATGGATGGACAGTCATTATTAGCAAGTTTAAGGAGCTAACAAGTAAAAAATAATATGAGAACATTGGCGTACAATGAAACGAGATTAGGACAGGATTCAAGGAAGAAAACCGTCAGTGCGAG